CAGTCTGATAGAATATCTGCAGCAGTGTTTTGCAGATGTTGAAAGACGCCAGCCTTCTGAGGAAGTATAATCGGCTCTGACCTCTTCTGCACAGGGCGTCTTTGTTGGCAGTCCAGTCCAGCCTATCATCCAGGTGTACTCCCAGGTATTTGTATGTCTGTACCAACTCCACACAGTCACCGTTGATGGTCACAGGTTCCGGGTGGGCCCTGGGCCTTCTGAGGTCCACCACCATCTCCTTGGTCTTGGTGGTGTTGAGGCGCAAGTGGTTGGAGTCAAACCCTGTGACAAAGTCCTGAATGAGTTTCCTGTACTCCTCCTCCTGGTCATTCCTGACACAGCCCAGAATAGCCGTGTCGTCTGCGAACTTTTGCACGTGACAGGACTCTGAGTTATATTTGAAGTCTGACGTGTACAGGGTGAACAGGACCGGAGAGAGCACGGTCCCTTGCAGCGCTCCCGTGCTACTGACCACAGTGTCAGACCTGCAGTCCCTCAGTCGCACATACTGGGGTCTGTCTGTTAGGTAGTCCATTATCCATGCCACCAGATGTGAGTCTACTCCCATGTCTGCTAGTTTGTATTGCAGAAGTTGAGGCTGGATGGTATTGAAGGCGCTGGAAAAGTCCAGAAATGTAATTCTCACAGCACCATTTCCCCTATCCAGGTGAGAAAGGGATCTGTGCATCAGCTCCATGGTCTTCATCACATGTGATGTCAGGGCGACCGGTCTGAAGTCATTTAGCTCACCAGGATGTGGTTTCTTTGGGATTGGGATGATGCAGGATGTCTTCCATTGTCTAGGCACCCTCCCCTGTTCCAAGCTCAGGTTGAAGATGTGCTGTAGGGGGAGTCCCAGCTCCAACGCACAGGCCTTCAGAAGTCGAGGGGATATTCCATCTGGACCTGCTGCTTTGCTGGGACGAAGCCTCATTAGCTCTCCACACACCTGGGCTGCTGTAATAGCGGGTGGGACAACCAGCTCCTCTGTGGCTCCTGAGGGGAGCGAGAGAGAGACAGCAGCAGAAGGGGGTATGGTGACCTGAGGTGTTAACGGGATGGGGTGGTCGAACCTGCTGAAGAATTGGTAAGGTTTGCTCTTTCTGTATCTCCCTCCATGTGGGCCCCCCGCTTTGAGCTGCAGCCGGTGATGATCTTCATCCCATCCCACACCTCCTTCATGCTGTTGTTCTGCAGTTTCTGCTCCAGCTTCCTTCTGTACTGCTCCTTCGCTTCCCTGAGCTGGACTCTGAGTTCCCTCTGTACGCGTCTAAGCTCCTGCTGATCTCCGTCTTTAAAGGCCCTCTTCTTCTGGTTAAGAAGGCCCTTGACATGACTTGTAATCCAGGGCTTGTTGTTGGCATAACAGTGCACAGTTCTTACAGGAACAACAACATCCATACAGAAGTTGATGTAGTCAGTAGTACAGTCAACAGCCCCCTCGATGTCCTCACAGTGCGAACCCTGCAGTACATCCCAGTCCGTACTACCAAAACAGTCTCTTAGAGCCTGCTCTGCTTCAAAAGACCACTTCCTGAATGAGCGCATTGTTGTGGGTTGTCTCTTCACTCTTGGATTGTAGTGAGGCTGAAGCAGAATCAGGTTGTGATCAGCTTTCCCCAGTGCAGGCAGAGGGGTGGTGCTGTATGCGTCCTTAACGTTTGCATACAGTAGGTCAATAGTCTTATTTCCCGTGGTGTAACAGTCTACATACTGGAAGAAAGCAGGTAGTGTTGTGTCCAGAGTCACGTGATTAAAGTCCCCAGAGATTAACACCAGAGCCTCGGGGTGCTGTGTTTGTAGTTCTGCTACAGCCACAGCGGAGTGGATGACGTCACACGCGACTACCGCGTCAGCACGTGGTGGGATATAAACAATAACAACAATGGCGTGTCCAAACTCTCTGGGCAAGTAGAAGGGTCGCAACCCTACGGCAAGCAGCTCAACGTGCCTGTTGCAGATGGAAATCTTGATGTTCACATGTCCAGGGTTACACCACCTTGTGTTCACGTATACAGCTAGTCCACCTCCTTTCCGCTTCCCACAGGCATTAGTGTCTCTGTCCAACCTGACTGTGCTGAAGCCGGGTAGCTCAACGTTAACGTCCGGGACATTAGCCGTTAGCCACGTTTCAGTGAAGCACAGCACTGCTCTCCCTGTAGATTTTAATGTTTTTCACCAGCGCAGCCAGTTCGTCAATCTTGTTCTGTAGTGAGTTAACATTTCCCATGATCACCGATGGTACAGAGGGTTTATATCGCCACTTCTTCGCCATTCGCTTGGCCTTTAGCTTTGCGCCGGCTCTGCAGCCATGATAGGGTCTCCTCACCTCGTCAGGTAACTGGGGAACCACACCGGCCCAGGACTTTGTCTTCAGCGTGAGAAGTTGTTTTCTCGAATAAACGAGTTTGGGTAAATAAATATCCATATCTATTGGATAGAAGTTGATCAGATGTGACAAGGCACAAATGTGAAAATAAAAAAGCAAAAACAAAAGTCGATAAAAATAATAAAAAGTCAAAAAAGATCACTGCACACTAGGAGCTGCTGAAAGGGCTGCCACTCGCGGCGGCGCCATGGCAACCGAAATTGCCATGACAGTTTGCTGGATCCAGCAGATGTAATGTGTAAGCGAGTTGAGCTGTGCTCATTGGCTGCGAAGTGTCGATTCGCCTATAGCAGGAAACAGTGGCAGCTCATCTGGTCATACATGATCTCCTTTTACAACTAAACAGTACACTAAAATATGTTTTCAAAATTATTTTAGGTGAGAAATTCGTATTTTATCATCACTGCCTAGATTGACAGTTTAATCAGAATTTTGTGCGTTGCGCTGGGCAGACTTACTAAGAATGACTTGTCAATCACAAGGTAGCCACAGCCAAAAGCTGCTTTATTGTCTATTTTTCTCTAAATTGGACCATAATTTATAAAACATCATAATGTATGGACGAAGAGTTGAAACTAGCAATTGAGACCATAAACTCATGAAACTGTTTTCTGAGCTAATACATCAAACAACTCATTTTAAGGTAGAGAAAACACAATGATTCTTATATTCAGGTGATTATCCACGGACAAAATCATATCTATGAATATTATATTAAATTTCTGCCAATAGATCCTCCTAAATGTTACACACTGGACCTTCAAGGAATAAGGGTGTAACTATGGTGAGCTTCATCAGAATTTATGCAGTAGGTTTTTTTTTTTTTACTATCCTAATGTGTAGGGTACCTATTCTGTTATTATGCAGGTGTAGATATGATACTGAGCAACAATCTGGCATTTGGGGAGCGAGAACTTCTTTGAAAGTGATTTGAAGTTAGTTTACCTTTAGAAAAGCCTTGCTGAGTTTGAGAGTTATGCAATGACCCATAGATCATATGACATTTTGATTGATAAATGACACTGTGCATATAATAGAGAAATTGTCTTTGTTGTTGTATCCTAGGACAACTCGGGTTACTTGTATCCTGTGTGATGCAAATAAATCTTGCACATGGAGTGAAAATGTCAATTGTCTGCTTTTTGTGAGTCTGTGTCACTAGGTGGCTGTGGCTCAGAGGTAGAGCGGGTTGTCCACTAATTGGAAGGTTGGTCGATCCCCGGCTCCTCTCGCTGCATGTCAAAGTGTTCTTAAGGAAGATACTGAACCCCAAATTGCTCCCAATCAGTGTAAATGGGTTGAGTGTGGCATGTAGTATACAGCGCATTGAGTGGTTGAAAAGGTGCTATATAAGTACAGTTCATTTACCAGCAGAAACACTGAAAACTCAAATATGATGATATGGTCGTCCATACACTTTACGCTTACTTTTAAAGAAATGTCCAACTGCTCCACTGGTTGCTGCTCATTATGTGTGTGAATAGGGTGAGTGTAGCATGTAGTGTACAGCGCATTGAGTGGTCAAAAGATTAGAAAGGCGCTATATGAGTACAGTCTATTTACCATTACTATTCTGAGAGTTTGTGATCTCTCACTATAGTCAGATAGCTAAAAGTTTAATTCAATTCAATTCAATTCAATTTTATTTGTATAGCGCCAATTCATAACAGAAGTTATCTCAGGACACTTTTCAAATAGAGCAGGTCTAGACCGAACTCTTTAACATTAATTACAGAGACCCAACAGTACCACCATGAGCAAGCACTTGGCGACAAGGGCAAGGAAAAACTGCCTGTTAAAAGGCAGAAACCTAGGACAGATCCTCCGGCTCTAGGTGGGTGGTCGTCTGTCTCGACCAGTTGGGGTAGAGAGAGAGAGAGAGAGAGAGAGAGAGAGAGAGAGAGAGAGCGACAGACAGACAGACAGGTGCACAGCAACAACAGTATTGGCAATGGCAGTCAAGCAGGACCATGGCAGGAGGCTCCACCAGGATCCATGAGAACCTGCGAGACGAGAAAGCACAAGAACTCCGGGGAAGAAGTGGAGTTAGTAACATGCATTAAAGGGACATGAATGAGTGCAGAAAGAGAGAGGAAGAGAGTAGCTCAGTGCACCATGGGAAATCCCCCGATAGTCTAGGCCTATAGCAGCATAACTAAGGGATGGTTCAGGACTCACCTGATCCAGCCCTAACTATAAGCTTTATCAAAGAGGAATGTCTTAAGCCTACTCTTGAATGTGGTGAGGGTGTCTGCCTCCCGAACCACAACTGGAAGCTGGTTCCACAGGAGAGGAGCTTGGTAACTGAAGGCTCTGGCTCCTGTTCTACTTTTAGAGACTATAGGAACCACAAGTAGCCCAGCATTCAGAGAACGTAGTGTTCTAGTGGGGTAATAGGGTACTATGAGCTCTTTAAGATATGAAGGGGCCTGACCATGAAGAGCTTTATAGGTGAGGAGGAGTATTTTAAATTCAATTCTACATTTTATAGGGAGCCAGTGCAGAGTAGCTAGTACAGGAGAGATGTGATCTCTTTTTCTAGTTCCTGTCAGTACTCGTGCTGCAGCGTTCTGAATTAATTGGAGCGTTTTAATGGACTTATTGGGGCAACCTGATAATAAAGAGTTGCAGTAATCCAGCCTTGAAGTAACAAATGCATGGATTAGTTTTTCTGCATCTGTCTGTGATAGTATGTGTCTAATTTTTCTAATATTACGTAAATGAAAGAAGGCAGTCCTAGAGGTCTGCTTTATGTGGGAGTTAAATGACAAATCCTGATCAAAGATAACTCCAAGATTCCTGACAGTGGTGCTAGAGGCCAAGTTAATGCCATCTAGAGTGACTATATCTTTAGACAATGAGTCTCTAAGGTTTTTGGGGCCAAGAACAAGAATTTCGGTTTTTTCTGAGTTTAACATCAGAAAATTGCAGGTCATCCAGGATTTTATGTCCTTAAGACATGTTTGTAATTTAGATAATTGATTAATTTCATTGGGTTTGATTGATAGATATAACTGCGTATCATCTGCATAACAGTGAAAGTTAATGGAGTGATTCCTAATAATGTTGCCTAAAGGGAGCATATATAAAGTAAATAGTATTGGTCCAAGTACAGAACCTTGTGGAACTCCATGACTAACTTTAGTATTTATGGAGGATTCATCGTTAACATGTACAAACTGAGTACGATCTGATAAGTATGACTTAAACCAGGTTAGGGCAGTTCCTTTAATGCCAATTTGATGCTCAAGTCTCTGTAAAAGAATATCATGGTCAATGGTGTCAAATGCAGCACTAAGATCTAATAATACAAGTACAGAGACAAGTCCATTGTCAGAAGCAGGCAGAAGGTCATTATTAACTTTAACCAGAGCTGTCTCTGTGCTATGATGAACTCTAAATCCTCAAATAAACTATTGTTATGTAGAAAGTCACACAACTCTTTGGCGACTACTTTCTCCAGAATCTTAGAGAGGAACGGGAGGTTAGAAATCGGTCTATAGTTGGCTAAAACCCCTGGGTCAAGAGTAGACTTTTTAAGAAGGGGTTTAATTACAGCTACTTTAAAGGACTGTGGTACATATCCTGATAATAAAGAAAGATTAATCATATCCAGTAAAGAAGTGCCAATTAAGGGAACAACTTCTTTAAGCAGCCTAGTTGGGATCGGGTCTAACAGACAGGTTGATGGCTTCGATGAAGAAATGATTGAAGTTAACTGATGAAGATCGATAGCAGAAAAACAGTCTAAATATACATCTAAGTTTACATTGACAGAAGTCCCTGAACTTGGAGAGCCACTGATAACTGTTGATGGCAGTTGGTGATTAATTTTTTCTCTAATAGTAATAATTTTATTATAGAAGAAGCTCATGAAGTCATTGCTACTTAAGTTTATGGGGATATGTGGCTCGATAGAGCTGTGACTCTCTGTCAGCCTGGCTACAGTGCTGAAGAGGAACCTAGGGTTGTTCTTATTTTCTTCTATTAGTGCTGAGTAATAGGCTCCTCTGGCATTACGGAGGGCCTTTCTATAAATCTTAAGATCATCTTGCCAATTTGAGCGATATTCTGATAATTTGGAAGAGCGCCATTTCCTTTCAGATTTCCTAGCTATTTGCTTTAACTGGCGGGTTTGGTGGTTATACCAAGGTGCTAGTCTCCTATGTTTTAATAATTTCCTTTTTATAGGAGCGATAGAGTCTAATGTTGATCGTAGTGAGCCTGTAGCACTATCGACAAGATTATCAATTTCAGAGGGACTAAAGTTGTTATAGGACTCTGTTAAATTCAGACATGGCATTGAATTAAACACTGAAGGAATCTCCTCCTTAAATTTAGCTACAGCACTGTCAGATAGACATCTGCTGTAGGAAGTTTTGCCTAATGGCTTATAATCTAATAGTATGAATTCAAAAGTTACTAAATAATGGTCAGATAGGAAAGGATTATGTGGGAAGACTATTAAATGTTCAATATCAATGCCATATGATAAAACAAGGTCAAGAGTGTGATTAAAACAATGAGTTGGTTTATTTACACTCTGACAGAAGCCAATTGAGTCTATTAATGATATAAATGCATTACTAAGGCTGTCATTGTCAACATCCACATGAATATTAAAATCACCTACAATAATTACTTTATCTGATTTAAGGACTAAGCTTGATAGAAACTCTGAAAATTCAGATATAAAATCAGAGTACGGTCCAGGAGCGCGGTACACTATAACAAATAGAACTGGCTGCAGTGTTTTCCAGTTTGGGTGAGAAAGACTAAGAACAAGGCTTTCAAATGAATTATAATTTAGTTTAGGTTTAGGGTCCATTAAAACGCTCGAATCATATATAGCTGCTACTCCACCTCCTCGGCCTGTGCCTCGAGGAATGTGAGTATTAATATGACTGGGGGGTGGATTCATTTAGGCTAACATACTCCTCGTGGGACAACCAGGTCTCAGTAAGACAAAGTAAATCAATATCATAATCTGATATTAATTCATTCACTAGAACAGCTTTAGAGGACAGAGACCTGATATTTAACAGCCCACATTTCATTCTCTTATTTTGTGCTACTGAGGAGTTGGTTTTAATTTTTATTAGATTTTTATGTTGAACTCCTCTTGTTTTTATTTCTTTAAATAGTTTAGGTGGTCGGGGGACAGACACAGTCTCTATGGGGTTTTGGGTGGGTGACTGTTCTAAAGAAAGCGCAGAGGAGTGTGTAAGACAGCAGCTCTGCTTCCTGGTCCTAACTCTGGACTGTCAGGTTTTAGAAATAAACTTCGCCATATTTCTAGATAAGAGAGCCGCTCCATCCAAAGTGGGATGGATGCCGTCTCTCCTAATCAGACCAGGTTTTCCCCAAAAAGGCTTCCAGTTATCAATGAAGCCCACATCGTTTGCTGGACACCACCTCGACAGCCAGCGGTGGAATGACGACATGCGGCTATACATGTCATCACTGGTCACATTGGGGAGGGGTCCAGAGAAAACTACGGTGTCCGACATTGTCTTAGCATAGTTACACACCGACTCCACATTAATCTTAGTGACCTCCGATTGGCGTAAACGGGTGTCGTTACCGCCGACGTGGATAACAATCTTACTGTATTTACGTTTATCTTTAGCCAGCAGTTTTAAATTTGATTCAATGTCGCCCGCTCTGGCCCCAGGGATGCATTTAACTATGGCCGCTGGCTTCGCTAACTTCACGTTTCTGACTATGGAGCTGCCAATAACCAGAGTTGGTTCCTCAGCGGGTGTATCGCTGAGAGGGGAAAATGTATTAGAAACGTGAAACGGTTGGTGGTGACCTGTGGGCTTCGCCGTTCTAGCCTTCCTTCGCTCAGTCACCCAGCCTCCCTGTCTTCCCGGCTGCTCGGGAACTACCGGGGGATCTACAGAGCTAACAGAAGCTACCTTCGGTCGGACCGCACCGGCTACTGGGGGCTGGCTAACTATAGCGGCTAAAGATATCTCAGTGGTGCGGTGCCGTTCCTCTAACTCACTAAGCCTCGCCTCCAGCGCAGTAAATAAACTACATTTAATACAGGTACCATTATCTTTAAAGGAGGCAGAGGAATAACTGAACATCTGACACACTGAGCAGGACAGAGGAGAGGGAGAAGCCATAGCTAACTGCTAATGCTAATGAAACTAGAGTGTATGAAAAACTTTGAAAGTAGTGAAAAGTCCCTAAAAGAGGGAGAAACTCCAAGTGTTTAAGTAGAACTAGTCTACGTTTAAATGTTAAGCGGGTAAATAACCGCTGTAACGAGTAAAACTAATTTATATTTAGCGTTCACTGACAGAGCTACAGCACCAAACAGTGTACACAGAGCAGGAAGTAAACCGGAAGTGAGTCAGTACGCTTACCGTAGCACGTCCAATCCAACAACCAAGTAATCCAACCAAAAAAAAAAAAAAAAAAAGAGTTTAAGACAGATAGACATCAATTGAGGTGCATTGAGGCAAGAAAAATTAAACCACAACACTTTCTCAGTTACACCAGTGTGTATGTGTTCTCAAACTGTGATGCAGACAATCTTTGGATTGCACTGAATAAATTTTACTTTGGAAAAAATATATATTTTTTATTTTTCTAATAATTTATTAGATTACGCATTTGGAATGGGACTGTGCTGTGGCCAAGCAACACATAAACATTTCCTGCACACTATAGCTTGCTACCTACTTTGATTAGGTCAACACATTACTGCAGGCCAGCTACTTTGTATCACGTACATTTATCTGTATTTTCCATTTATTGCACAACCAGTGAAAAGACGCTCAGATAGCATATGTGAATGTTTTTGAGGGGGTATTTATCTAGGGTTATCTCACACTATGATATCAGAAAATGATGAGTATGTTATAGATATAATGTACTTTTTACCATGTTAGTTACTAGAGTGATGAAGATCTGGGCTACACATTGGGGCAGCTGTGGCTCAGAGGAAGAGCGGGTCGTCCACTAATTGGAAGGTTGTTGGTTGATGTTTTCATCAAGGATGTTGAAGTATCCTTGAGCAAGATACTGAACACCAAATTGCTCCTGATGCCGTGCATCAGTGTGTAGATAGATAGATGAGCTAGATAGATAGATAGATACTTTATTTATCCCGAGGGAAATTCAAGAATGTGTATGAATGCGTTAGTTTCCGTTCGATGGCCTTTGCCATCGCTGAGTGAATGTGTGTGAAAGGGTGAATGTGGCACGTAATGTAAAAGCACTTTGAGTGGTTGGAAGACTAGAAAAGGCGCTATACAAGTACAGGTCCATTTACATTCTTGCCAATCTGATTAAGAGCAGGTTGCTTTAAACATCCCCCTGGTGCATTGAAGACTCAAATGTAACTCAAAGAAAACTTTTGTTAATAATGACACCAGTAATGACCACAGCATAATATTGCTCAGCACAGATTGTAGGTGCAAGCGAGCATGTTTTTACATGTAGCATGACAGGAACTTCATCTGAATTTCATTATGCAACCCTGCATTTGTAAATGACAATAAAATAACCTTGAATCCTTGAATATTATTAGAGGCATATAAGATGACTACTATCCAGAATAATGATTAACATCTACTTCCCAAGCTCTTTATTGGTGCAAAGGACCTTGCTGATCGTATGTGTAATGAACTCCATATCATAAAAATATTGACCTCAGATCACAATATTTCTCCCAGATAGACCCTTTTATGGAAACGAAACTTTACAGAACTCTTAGCAGAGAAAAGTTGGTCACAATAAAATAAAATAAGTTCACACAAAGTTATTACATAAATACCTCACTTATTGAATACATTTAAAACAGATATTTCTCCGACATGTTCTTTCTGTGAAACAGAAATTGAATCCATTTCTGAATTATTCTTTGAACATGCTTATTCTGAAGAGTTATGGGTTAAAGGGACATTGTGTAGGAATTTCTCCCATCTAGCGGTGAAATTGTATTTTGCATTCAAACGAATAGTGCTCTCTAATGCCTCGCGTTTTCAAATGCGTATTGCAACTACGGTAGCCATTATGTACCAAGAAGCCTACCTGTCGAGGAGAAAGCAGGCAACTTCAGCGTCCCTTTGAAAGTCTTTCTCCTTCATTAGCTCTTTCCATCTGGAAAAAGCTACCCCGATGTTTACCCTCGTTTTTTTAATTCGCCGGTTACGTTGCCTTTTTAATTCCCTTTTTAATTCCCTTTTTCTCTTTTTTGGCGACGAGGATTCCTTCTCCTGTGGCTCGGCATAAGTATGATCCTCCATTATTAACTAAAGTGCAGTGCAGACTTTCAAATGTGCCGGGGCAGTGACAAGCGCCTCTCACTGATCTCCTTCTCCGTTATAGCTGGTTTCAGTCACGTGACGCTGGCTCGGAACAAAAATGCGTTGTGGATTAGCTAGACAGGTAGGCTAGTGCTTTATGTCCCTCTCGGCGATTATAGTTTTTCAAAATGGCGGAACGACATGGAAGCCTCCATGGACTTGCCCGTCCAATGTATATACAGATAAGAAATTCTTCGCTTACGAGGATAAGTCAGATCATTGGCAGAGGTAATTTTACACCAATGAGGACACATTTATGAATGACATTGATTTTAGCTAATAAAATACTTAAAACACTACACAATGTCCCTTTAAAGTTGCTCTGTTGATTTATGTAAGATTTAATAGATTGACACCAATATTAGAAGACATGGTCTTGTTTCTGAATTGTAATACTGACTCACAGCTCTCAATGCTCTCAAACATGTGTCGAGTTGGCAAATATCACATCGATAAAACTAGAATGCTTCAAACAGCACCTTATATCCCTGTATTCTGTGTTGAACTACAATATATCCTTGACTCTGTTTCTAAAATATTAACAAACAAGTAAGCTATTAAGACCTCGCAAATAATTGTGAAAATACTTTGTAACAAAAATTAAGAAGTACTATATATTTATCTCCCACATACAATGTGATGGTGTCTGTATTGCTTTTTTTTTTTGCAATCGTATGTTTTATTTGTATTATTTTTTATTATGTTCTTTTTTTATTATCCAATCTAATCCAATCCAACTTTATTTGTTAAGCACTTTAAAAACAACCAAAGTTGACCAAAGTGCTGTACAGGAGAATAAATAAGACATCATAAATGTAAACCGTGATGATGATGATGATGATGAAGACCACTGTGAGGAATATAGACAGTGATGGCGACAACACTGGAAAGTTCCCGTGGCAGATAACACGGACGAAGTCCGATGGCGACGAGCTTGATGTCCGGGCTGCAGACGCTCTTTCACACAGACGTGCCCGGCGTTACACCACATGTTGTTTATGAGCACGGACAGTCCCCCTCCTTTCTTCATGCCGGTCGCGGTGGTGTCCCTGACGGCTCGAACCGTCTGGAAGCCGGGAATGGTGATGATGGAGTCCGGTATCTGCTCGATGATTGCAGGGATGTAGAGTTTAAAGCTCCTCTTCTTCATCCTCCGTTTAACCCCCGCTCTGCAGCCTCACCGTCTCCTCAGCTCCTCCGGTATGGAGGGTCTCTCTCCGGTCAGGATGCTAGGGGGCCTCAGGGCGATCATCTGGTCGCGGGTGAAAACAATGCGACTCCCCGTTGCCATGGAGACCAGCGTAAACAAAAAATAAAAAGTGCTCAAAAACGCCAAAAAAGTATTTAGGCGACATGAACAAAGTAGTAAGAGAGTAAGAAAGTAAGAAAAGAGTTCAAAATAGCAAAAACACACTGAAAACACACTAAAACTACAACAATGAAAAGGAGCTGCCATGACAGGCTGCCGTTGTCGCCGGCGCCATTCCATGCTATCTTATTATGTTTAATGTTGGTTCATACATTAATCGAAGTTGTTTAAATTATAATTTTTCAATGTGATATATTGAAATACTTAATGTCTTCCACAGTTTAATGTAACATTTGAAACAAAAAAATAAAAAATAAAAAATGCACACTCCAGACCGATGGGTGGCGGTAATGCATATTAGAATTGTTTGCCAACCGCCAAAAGAGACGAGCCTCCGTCATAACAGCGCATGCGCAAATTCAAGGTGAAGCCGTAGACGGGCTCTGGTATGGAACAGTGTTAGTTTTATGTTAACCCTAGCTTTGAAAGACCTCGGTCCTTATAAACGTCCGTATGAGTAATGACAAATCTCCCACAACGCATCAGATAGAAATCGAAACACTAATTAATTAACGCTGCCATTTATAAGTAGTTTGAACTTTGTAAAGTTGACGCCAGGTAAGTTTGTGTTCTTGCTCATTTGTTAGCATACAGTAATAGTTAGCTGGAGCTACGTTACTTGTTCAAATTTGTGTAGTGTATTTATTTATATTGGGAACGGAGGTTTCACAATCTGATTGATAATTCCCTTAAAATGTCCATGTTTTCTTGTTCTTTCTTTCTCTAGGTTTTAGGCTTTAATCGTGTCAGAATAGATAAATTCCTGACTGCTTCATCATTTACAGAAACATAACTGGACACTACACACGGTAAACAGAGGGACACCAGGATGGCCATTGTAAGTCAAGAGTGTGTGCAGTAATTTGTGAGAGTATACGGTGTCCCTGAGAGCTCAACACACTGCAAAACATAAGCAAATAATTAAATACAAGTTGCACAGACAACGGAAGCCAGGGGACACTAAAAAGTAATGAAGACGCGTGTTGTTGCCATGGGTTGTAACTCGTGAAGTTAAGTAAGTGGTGGAAAATTAACTAAAATGTAAGTTGTCCAAGCAGCGTTCATTTCTTTTGTGTCCCCTTGAAACAGTTTCCATTGTCATCTTTTCTTCTTGCAGCTAGGGCTGCACATCAGGGTAAAAAAAAAAAAAAAGTCATGATGCTGTGATATTGGTTGGGCTCTGTACCAAACAAACATTCTTACATCTGGAGAAAAACATTTGTAGCCCAGGGCATCTCTTCAGAACTATAGTACTTCATTATAATGCTTAATATAATAATTTATTAAATTAATATAATGGTTGTGTTTTCTGTTTTTTTCCAAATGCAACATGTATTGTCAATTTTCAATAACAATGAACCCCTAAACCCCCTGTTTCAGCTATAAATCTGTGTATATGGGTTTTTGGTAGTGTTATTGATAGACACCAGTCCAAATCTTGACATTTTACTATTTAATATTACATTTTAGTATTAGTATTTAAATTCTATATATTGTGCAATAAATAGGCATAGCAGTCACTCTCTACTGGTTGAAACCTGGCTATTGCATTTTGCTACGTGATATAAACAAACAAGCATACATGAAAATCACTCCCCTTTCAGCGAAATTCGCCGTTTTGAAACCAAAATAGGTCACCTACGTGAATCGTGTAGATTCGATGAGAAAATGTTTGGGGGGGGGAGTTAGGTACCAGAGATTCAGTGAACTGCGAACAGGTGCGCGTGTGCCAGAAGGGAGCGCGAGTGCATGGAAATATTAGTGCGAAGGGCCTTGCATCACCAGTTTCTTTCTCTGGGAAGGTAGGGGTATTCCCCTAATGTTAAGTTAAGTTTCTCCGGCTCTCCCCAGGTTGGCAAAAAATGCATGTTATACACAGAGAGGAAGCAGACGGGGCAAGCCGGGGGCAGGGGCTTCAAATTATGTTGAATTCAAAATGGTGAAATAAAAAAATGACTGAAATATACCCCCTCCCCGCCACAAGTTTCAAATAGACCCATTAATTGGTATAGGTACTGGCCATTGGTGCTTCCAGTGAGCCGTGATTGGCCCCAAAAACCCTGATCAGAGAACCCATAATACTGCTTGGAAGTTTAATCTACAGTAATGTATCATGTTCTAAAAGATCATATTTGTACTATTTGAGAATTTACAGCATGTTATTTTTGAGAAAATGTGTATCGAGGTGTATATTTTATATTGCAGCCTAGCCCAATAAATAATAATAAGAATATATAGAGATATTATTTATAATCTATAAGTGCTTATCAAAAACAGAAACTAAGGGCGTTCATACACAGCATCGGGAGCAATTTGGGGTTCAGTATCTTGCTAGCCAGGGATCGAACCGCCAACCTTCTGATTATAATTTTAACTCTCAGTTAAGTTGACTCTCAACAGTTGACAGTTTAGGAGGTACACCTAGCTAAAATACAGTCTAAACCAACAATCCTCTCGTCATAAAGTTTCTAAAATTCAGTTTTTGTTAAAACTTTTGCACATGCAGTATACCGGCAGGTGTTTCTATAATTTACTCATGGTTCAGACTTCTCGGGATGAAGGTGTTAATGTGCTACACACCATTAGTAAACACTGTGGTTGAGTTGTTTGTGAGAGAGGCTAACATTGATTTTGTCTGTGTGTGTGTTTTCAGGTGCTGTGCAGTAGAGCCAGGCTGGTCAGTTACCTCCCAGGGCTTCATGTGTTGGTGCATCGTGTGGCTGGAGCCAGAGCCTTTTCTGCTGCTGGATCCTCGGGCTCTGATGAGCCCCATGTAGCCGTCACTCATTCTGACATGGGTATGTCACAATTAGGGACCGAGCCAGCGACAGCTGGAGGTCCCTATTGTATTTGCTATGTTTCTTCTTCCCTATTATTAGGGATAGAGCACTGACAAGTGCAAGACCCTATTGTAACCCAAGGAATTATTAGGGACCGAGCAAGCGACCACTGGAGGTCCCTATTGTATTTGCTGTGTTTCTTCTTATTAATTTTAGCGCCTTTGACTGCGATTTTGCCCCCCTGAACATACACGAAAACTCAATTTTATTTGGCAAAGTGGTCAAGCCTGGTGAAAAATTTGATATTCTATGTGTCGCTTTCGGGTTGGCCACTATGTCGCGCTACTATCATAAAAAATGTGTTTAGGCTAATAACTTCTGCATAATTTGTCGCACATTCAAAAACCTTGTATCCATGCGTTCAGTGAATAGAGCTGAATCTCCCCATGTAAGCCCCACCCAATTTTTTTTTTCTAGAGTGCGAAATGTCCATAAACTACTTTTCTGTGTTCCTGACATGTGCTTTGTCCGATCCGCACAAAATTTTTCACGTAGCATGTGGGGACCGTCCTAATAAAAAAGTAATTCAAAGAACTTATATAAAAAAAAATAAGCACGTTATAAAATTAACACTTCCTGTGGATTTTTCCCTGAGGGGGCTCCCTGAGGCTCACTTAAAGGACAATAAAAATACGCCACTAGGTGGCGCTCTTTTGGCATGATAAATCACTGTGCGGAGACCATAATAGTTATGAATATGAAATTCACAGGACACGTGTAGACTGGTGCCTGAAGCTCACATACCAAAAATCGTGTTTGTCGTGTTTGGAGTGCCCCCTACAGGATAAAAAAACAGCAGCCCCGGCGCCACGTTTCACCGATACGTACGAAACTCGGTAGGCACGTGTAACATGCCAGGACATACAAGAAAGCCTCTTGGACCCATACCCGAAACCCCACAGGAAGTCGGCCATTTTGATTTTGATTTTCACTTACGGCGAACTTTTCGCGTTGTATTTGAACGAACTCCTCCTAGGGAATTTATCGGATCTACTTCAAAATTGGTCAGTACAGTCAAAAAATGGTTCTGATTAAAAGTTGTGCTATTTGTGCATGTACATTAAAGGGCGTGTCCGTGCCGTGCCCTCAAAGTTGGCCATAGTGAATTCCGTGCGCATTTTTGGTGATTTTTTCGCGTTGTATTTGAACGAACGAACTCCTAGGGAATTTATCGGATCTGCTTCAAAATTGGTCAGTACAGTCAAACAATGGTGCTGATTAAAAGTTGTGCTATTTGTGCATGTACATTAAAGGGCCTGTCCGTGGCGTGCCCTCAAAGTTGGCCAGGTTTACTCAAATGTCAAACTGTGATGCCATTTCTGGCATTTTGCAATGATTTTCAGCATTTTGTTTTTGCGTTGTATTTGAAAGAACTCCCTAGAGAATTTATCAGATCTGCTTCAAAATTAGTCAGTACAGTAAAAAAATGGTGCTGATTAAAAGTTGTGCTATTTGTGCATGTATGTTAAAGGGCGTGTCCGTGGCGTTCCCTCAAATTTGGCCAGGTTGAATCGAATGTCAAACTGTGATGCTATTTCCGGCATTTAAGGGCTTCTGTTTTAACTAACTCCTCCTACAGATTTTAGCAGATTGACTTCAAATTCGATCACTTCAATCTACACACATTGGTTATCAAAAGTTGTGCTATTTATGACTGTATGTTTAACCGTGTGCCCGTGATGACGTGTCGAATTCCACCGATTGGCCATCAAACAGATAGTACTCATCTTCAGTTTACTGTCCCAACCTGAACACGTCCTCATAACTTCAGCGTACATGATCCAATCTCAACGAATCTTCACATGTCTGATAAGAGTCCCACCTTGAACACTTCTATGTGATAATATTCAGTAATAGTGAGAGCGCCACCTAGTGGTGAAAGGAAGTGTATTTTTTGTACTTTTATTCATATCTTCAAGCATATTGACCAGATCCAGCTGAAATTATGTGAGAAGTTCCTTAGGAGGACAAGGATCACATATTATGAATCTTAAGAATTTGCATGTAACCATGTTGCCATGGCAACGCAGCCCTGAACACATAGTGATAGCGCCACCTAGTGGCAACAGGAAGGAAGTGCTGCGTGGCAATTTTGAGCTGATTTATGTGACATTTTCATGTTGTGGTCCGCCCTTGTTGCACGTGATGCGGCCGCAGCACACCCCGGCGCGCGCCGGTTGCGAGATCCCGTTCATCGCTGCTTGCAGCTTTAATTCTTTTTGTTTTACATTTTAACATGAATTAGTTGATGATGAATTGTAAAGTGAGAAGCACATAGAATATAGAACATTGCAGCGTCATCATGCATATACTGAAGGCTGTGATTACTAGGGTTTTTCTTGTTTTTTTTTCTAGAATTTTTCTAGAATTTACTGACTTGGCTGGCGTAGGACATTGAAGAAACAAAATCAAAAGTAGATAGTGCCCGCTGCTGTTTAAATCTGCAGTAAGTAACTAACATAACATAACTTTGTGTCTTATTTGCTGTAACTTTCGCTATATCCTGACAGTAATACATGAAACAGATAAAACATCAGGGTCCTCCTGTTGCTCATAATGGTATTTGCAAGAATCCATTGGACCTGAACAATCAATTGTAGGCAAGAAAGATAGCTGATTGTTGAGTCTCATTCCCAGGCTGTCAAATACGAGTGCTAGGAGTAAGACTTAACAATTATTTATCTTAAAGCCACCAACCCAATTTTCTTTCTTTCTCTGCTTTTTTCACAGATTATTTGTCTCATTTACTACTGTCAGGATATACCCAAAGTTTCAGCAAATATTACAAAAACTTATTTTTCTAAAAATTACCTATTGTAGCTTTGCCAGTATCACAATCCACCATCCTTCCTTTCTGGTGATTTTGGTGTAGACCAAGACTGTCAGAATCTGCATTCTCATGCATCGTGTGTTTTTCATGTCATTAAGGACTGCGGACAGTGTGGCCTGATGAGAACATGGGGCCTTTTGGACCTCAGGACCAACGCTTCCAGCTGCCTGGTAATGTGGGTTTTGACTGCCACCTGGAAGGACTAGCAGAGCAGAAGAGGAACCAGGCACACAAGATGGTTCCTGATGTGCTGTCGGCCCCGTCCAGCAGTGACAGACATGAGTTCATACTGACCCAGTTCATTGGAGAGTACTTTGTAAGTGTAATACTGTTATAGAATGGGAAAAATTAATATAATACTATAATAATATATAATAATCATAATAATAATAAGAAGATTAAGAATATAATCACACTATAATACTGTATTTTATACAGCAGATTTTGGTAGAGAAAAAAGATAATTTCTGTTTGTTTAGTTTGTTTGTTTTTTAAAACATATCTCCACAGCTCCTCAGATATGGGTCCATACAGTTAACAGTTTAAACACTGTTCTAAATCAATGTTATTCATAAAAGCCATAAAAGCCTAACAATTCTTATTTTCGGGAACACTGAAGTTAGTGTAGTATGTTAAAAGAACCACTGCCACAAATGGAAACTATTAAATAAGAATCAATACAGTGTTTTTGAGAATCACAAAACAGAAGTGTATCAAGCTTAGGGCTGTCCTCGAAAGTCAATGATGCAAATCTTCACTTGAGAAGACCAAGAGTCGACTCGTATTTTGTCAGTCAAATATCTGCATGCTTGTTTTTTAGCTGTCTTATTGTACACAGAGGGACAGCATTGCAGTTTGTACATTTTTCAAACTGAGTCTCAAAATAACCACAAACCACAAAACTGACTGTGATGGAGTGGAAAAGTGATAGCTAACGTAGCAGTTTAACACCAGCTAGGGGGGAAGTGGCTGCTCCGACAGTCTCTGCTGTGGTGCTGACTGTCAGTCAAGTAATCTAAACCATTTTTGGATCATTTTTGACATGGTACAACCTCCTCGACTGCCTTCCACTGTGATTGAGTCTTCAGCTGACAGTGTTATCAGCAGCCTGGCAGGAGAGACCATGGTGCCCTGAAATTTTACAACTCAACTATAAGCAGGAGGCACACTGCGACTTCTTCTGACTGTGTGGAAATCTGATGTTTTCAACATTTTTTGACAGTGGATCACTTTTGCCCCAGAATTCTGTCCTGTTATATCAAATTATGTTTACTAAGGCTGTTGCAGTAACCGCAATAATTAACTATCACTCTATTGAGAAGCCAGCTACACAGGATGGCAAGCCACTGCCACAACCATATGTTACGTCACATCAACACGTCATGTTCAGTATTTGTTTTTGACGTTGAGAAGGTGACTTGGAAAGCTGAGGAGACTCAACACAGCAGACGTACTGTCTGAAATGCAAGTGCTGCTTCACAACACAGCATTACATTACCCCAGAGCAGAAAGTTACATCTCTGCACCAGTCACTCTGAAAAAACTGACTTGAAACAAAAGACGGCTATCCCAATTTGCCACAGCTATGGCATTTGCGACCTGCGGCTTGCCAGTGTTTCAGTTTAAGGAGTGACCCTGGTAACTAGCAACTTTCAGCTGAATATGTTAACTGGCAACTTTGTTCGGCTGAAAGTTGCCAGTTATGAGGGTCACTATCTGGTTATTCAGGTTTTTCTTAAATGTCCCTTTAACTCAAAAAAGGCTTAGGAGGAGTCTCCTTTACATTGATGCACACCCTGTAGTTTTAGTTTTCTTTTTTCCTCCTCTTTTGTTTCACACTCGAGCACGTTTTCTGGCTTGTAACTAATTAACTGTAAGTTGCCATCTTTTTCCACCCGGGTGCAGCAGAAGCAATTGACTGAACTTTTACCTCATGTGAATTCTTCAGCTCAGGACTGCCCTCTTTTGTGACATATCATCAGTTCCGCTATTTATATGGAGATAATAACTATGGCTTAACTTGGGAAAATAAATGTATACCTGTTGGTTTTTTTTAAATTTTTTTTTAATACATTTGTACAGTCACAGACTCAGTAAGCAGGACGAGGGAGGGTGCAGGTGATTAGTACTAGATATTCACGGTGTCAAACGGGACAAAAGTTTCAGAGGATTCTCTTGTGAGGGGCGGCTGTGGCTCAGAGGCAGAGCGGGTCGTTCCTAAATCGGAAGGTTGTGGGTTCGATCCCCAGCGGAGTGCCACATGTCAAAGTATACTTGAGCAAGATACTGAACCCCAAATTGCTCCCGATCCCGTGCTGTGTGTGAATGTGTATGAAAGTTTCTGCTCGATGGACTTTGCCATCACTGTGTGAAGGCACTATACAAGTACAGGTCCATTTACCATTTACCATTTGGTAAGTGTAATACTGTTGCAACATAGCAAAGAGTGGGCTGAGTGGGGCAGCTTCCCAATGACCACTGCCAGGAACTGGAACATTTTCCAGAATCACTCCTCAGAGAGATGCCTTCTTGGTGAAGGTCTGAGGGCATTCAATCCCTCTATTGCATGGTTTTGCCATATGGCAACAATTACTTTATTTAAGGGCAGTAATATGGAATCCCCCCTTTCACTGATATGAATAAGAATCGGTACACGCGTAGATCTTATCCTGACGGACAAAAAATCCGCCGGGAGCCATATCCCAAAGCCAACAGGACGTCGGCCATTTTGTATTTAGCGGTCATTTCTGGCGATTTGAACACATTGTATTTGAACAAACTCCAACTAGGGAATTGATCAGCTCGACTTCACATTTGGACACAGCCATCTAAAGACATTTAGACGCAAAAGTTGTGCTATTTGCAACTTTTCGTCAGAGGGCGCGTCCGTGGCATGGCGCCAGCTTTTGACGTTTCACCATGAAACAGGAAGTTGTCATAACTTCAGTGTCTTTTGTCTGATCTGCACCATAATGCATATGTTTGATAAGAGTCCCGCCCTGAACACGTTTATGTGATAATATTCAGTAATAGTGATAGCGCACAGAGTGGTGAAGGGAAATGTCATTTTTTATACTTAATTATCATGTTCTACTCCTAGCAGGTTGATCAGAGCCACCTGAAATTTTGTCAGAAAATGCAAAACATATGGTTGATGATATTTCATGATTGTGGTGAGTTTTTGTTAAAGGGTTTTTTTTTTTTTATGTACCCCCAGAACACATGAATTTGCTATAACTTCAGTGTACAATGTCAAATCTCCACTAAACTTCACATATTCTCTAACAGTCCCACCCTAAACACGTCCTCATAACTTCAGTGTACATGGTCCAATCTCAGTGAAACTTCACGTTTGATTGGAGTCCCGCCCTGAACACGTCTACATGACAATATTTAGATATAGTGATACCGCCCATTACTGGCAACAGGAACTAAGTGTGTATATATATATACAGTATTGTAATCACAGTGCACGTTGCTGGATGAAAGTGACACCAAGCTGTTTTTCTGCATTATATACTAGAAAAAAGTTTTGTCTGCAATATGCTAATATTGGCCAACCAATATATGGATTGGGCTGTAGGTGAAACTATGCTGCCATATGCTAACAGGATTGCTTGCTTGTGTCTGTGTGTGTCTGTGTCTGTGTCTGTGTCTGTGTCTGTGTGTGTGTGTGTGTGTGTGTGTGTGTGTGTGCGTGTGCGCGCGCGCACGCACGCGCCAGGAGAAAGCTGCAGCCTCCTCTCAGAATGTCAATACAGCTGAACACTACTTTGACAACTCCACTGTGGAGTGTGCCATACAGTCCTGCCCTGAACTACTAAAAAAAGGTACACCACTTATCTTACACTCCTCAAAGACTTATCTATAACACCTATTTCCATTTTCTTTATTGTGACTAGTTCTAAGAAACTCTACAGGCTACGCAAAGCTTTTTTTTTTCATGTGGTTCCCTAGTTAACAAGTTTTGCAAATGTATTACTGTATCAGTGAAGTGTCGCCTAAGTTGCTCATATTGCAAATGACAAGCTGTGTTTCTGTCCGTCTTTTCTGTACTGTGTACGTCTTATTATAATGTGATGAACAGATTTTCAGTGCATGTTTCCTGAGGCTCCATCTTCTGGTATGACGGTGGTCACAGTTACCCAAAAGACCCAGAATGATATGATGTCATGGTCTGCTGATGTGGAACAGGAGAGAGAAAAGATGCTTGACAAGGTGAGCTGCTGTCTGGAGTTTGTTAAAATATCTGATATAGCTGGTATAATATAAAATCGGCTTCAGTCTTGGACTACAAGGACCATTGAGTCCAAGTTCACGAAAACAGTACAGTCACAGCTAACACTTCCATGCCTGCAGCCAATGCTAAAGTTGAACTCTCCATGTACAAAGAAAATTAAGTTGTTATTGGAGATAACTGGCCTTTTTTCATATTAGCTTAGCATTTTTACTAGCGTTAGCCGCAGGACTCTCAACTCATGCATTGACATTGAGACTCCACCAATTAAAACTTCACACAGGTTCTCACACCACATGTCCATTTTCCTAAACTGTGAGAAACACATTTATGACTTGTAACAGCTGGAAGAGTACATAAAGTGCACGGACAAACAAGAGTCAGCAACTCATCTCTCCCTCTCCCTTACTCTGTGCAGTTTGTTGATGGCGCGAAGGAGATCTGCTACTCCCTGCAGAGAGAAGGATTCTGGGCTGACTTTATTGATCCGTCCTCAGGCCTTGCGGTAAGATACTACAGTCATTGAGTATTCTTAGGGTAACAGTTGTATGCAAAATTTTGGGCGTCCCTTAACAAATAAAATATTGTGGGCATTGATTTTTTAATTGAAGGGACCTCTCTAGGATATGGAGAATAACACACAATATTTTGAATAAAACATTTTATTTTAGCAGCCTGCAAAGTCTTTTTTGAAACAAACCCCTGATTTAGTTAATCAGGGGAAATCCCAATTCATAACAGAAGTTATCTCAGGACACTTTTCAAATAGAGCAGGTCGAGAACCAACAGTTCCCACCTTGAGCAAGCACTTGGCGACAAGGAAGAACTTCCTTGCTGGGACAAAACAGATTATGAGTCTAAAGATCCCCCAGATCCACCTTAATGTCGGGGTGGTATGAATGCATCCAAAGTCCTAGGAAAGATGTGAAGAGATGCTTATTGACTCCAGGGGCTTCACAAACTACTTAACGTTACCAAAAATAAATCGGCTAACTCCGAGCTAAGAGTTATGTTTCCATGGTAAAGATCAGAGACAGTGACAGACTGACCAGTGGAACTAAAGGACACAAACAAGGAAAACATAGCTCATAATTTAAACATTAATTGTCCTTAACAGTGTTGTGGAGTTAGTAATGAGAAGGGAAGGGAGCTGGAGAGTTAGTCCTCGCTAGTATCTTAGTAGCTTGGTACTATTGTGCTGTCATACACTTAGGGGTGGGCAATATGGGCAAAAAATAATATCTCGTTATTTTTTGGGATTTTGGCGATAACCATAATCAGTCAATATCCTTTAAAATGTGATTTGGAATTGTCTGAGTTAGGGCTTGTGTCCACCAAACGCATTTTTAGTGATGAGAGCGCTCAAAAACTCATTTTCCGAGCGCCTAGCGGTGTTAAAAGTTGAACAGATTTCAACTTGAAGCGCTCTGAGTGCTGCGCTAAAAAAGTATTTTCGAAACCAAACCATTTCCATGCCAGAGAGGTAGACCCACGTCTCGGCACTAAATCATCTGAAGTACCGGTAGCTTCAGGGACTGGATTGCATGTTCTCTCTACCATCATCACGCGTTGCTAAACTGTTGCAAGGAGGATGCTAGCGAGAGGTCATGTGATCACGTCATGTGATCACGTAGGCCCACTAGTCGTGTGACTGAATCCTGCCATGCTGTAGAGAGCGTTGCTGCACCGTGTATTAAGTGGATGTGAGGAGTTTCCGCGTGCGTTTCAATATTTTTATGAAGTAATTTAAATACTCGATAATGGAAATTTGCACATCGTCAAAACAACAATGACGATATTATCGCAAACGATACATATCGCCCACCTCTACGTACACTACAGGGGTAGTATAGGGTTTCACAGTGTGTGGAAAAATCATGCAGTACTTCTAAGTCTCCGGTAGAGCAAGCCAGATTATTTGACTAGGTGAAGTTGCACTGTAAAAGCAATGGGGACATGGTCTTGGGCTGTCTCCGGCCACAGGTCGGACTTGAACACAGTGATGCTGCAGCAAGTACTGCGGTGGCTGTGTAGGTAGAGTGGTCATCGTCCACTAATCAGAAGGTTGGTGGTAGAGGGTTGCATTGGAATTGGGAAATGCAAATCTTGCAGGAGCAGGCGGTTTTGACTTTGTTGTGGGCTAAAGCAGGTAGCCAGAAAAAAACCAACTTGTAGCTGGAAGACTAGAAAGGAGGTATAACATATGTTTTAAGTTGTATTTGTTTTTTAAATTGTGTTTACACTGATAAATTTAAAGCTGCTTTGAAAATGTAATTTTTTTGTAAGAATTTTGTAACTTTAGTTGTGTTTAAAACCACTGCTGTTTTTCTTGTGATGGATGTAATTAGCTATTTAACTACGATAAATGTGTGTGTTGATCCCCAGTTTTTTGGCTCATACACCAACAACACACTGTTTGAGACAGATGACAGGTACCGTCACCTGGGCTTTCAGATTGAGGACCTGGGCTGCTGCAGAGTGATCCAGCACTCTTTGTGGGGGACACATGTTTTTGTGGGGACAATATTTACCAACGCACCAACCAGCAGCCTTGTCATGAAGAAGTTGCAGGGGAGCTGAACACAAGCTCAGAGACACTGGGTTGGCATTGTAACAGTTAAACATATATGATTTGGTGATGATATTTTTGACTGAAGTTTCATCATTTTAACAAAGTTTTGTAAGAGCATCAACTGACTCATCCTGTTTTTACTTTTGCAACATATATGTATAAATATTAATTGATATATATATATTGATATATATATATTGATTGATTCTAAACCAACACGCTGAAATGCATTACAATAAAGTGTTTCTTGACTCAACTAAAAAACACAAGGCCTTCTTGATTTAATTTTTTTTACTTTAAAAATACATATATGCCTGTATCATAGCATTTTATTTATTTATGTGAAGAAAATGTTCACTTAAATAATTAAACTGGTTGAGTATTTGTGAGTGAAAATATGCCTGATATAAATATATCCCTGATATTTATAACTCAGTTTCATGAATGAACACAAATAGAACAAGAATTCTTTTTTTATTCATCCTATTTTTTGGAAGATTGGGGCCTTTTGAGTTGAGGTTAATTTTAATGACTATATACTGCTGGGTAGCTTGTGTGTTTGTGTTGTGTTGTCTGTTTCAGGGCTGGTGGGACACAAAGTAAACTGTTAAAGGTCTAGTGTGTAGAATCTAGTGGCACCTAGTGGTGTAGTTGCAAAGGAAAAACTATGGTGACTGTGAAAAACTGTAGAGACATGGTGGTTCAACATGGCGGACTCTGTGGAAGGCGGCCCACGTAGATATATAGATATAAAAGGCTCATTCTAAGGTAACAAGAATGTTATCTTATATGTGTTGTACTATAACATGCAACTGCAAATGCAACAAAAGCCCTGCGAACAATAATCACACAAAAGATGTAGAGATGACAGAAATAAACACTGAGCAGAATACAGACAGTTCATTCAGGTAACTCAGGCAAAGGCTGCACTGAAGCACCAAACATTGGAGGGAGAGACAAGACAAGCCGGATTACAGGGAGAGAATTATTTTATTGTGTCAAATAAAAACATTAAGGAATAGCTTCGATGCGGGCTTCTTCTGTTTTTGATGCATTGCAGAGCTATTTAACTGTCAAGCATATACATTGGATTTATTTTAGGAAGTGTGCACTTTGCACCTGTATTATCTATTAAAAAAAAATAGATCAGAACATCCCTAATAGAGCCAATAGAGCCTCCTGGATGTTGCACACTGGGCCTGCTGTTTGAAAGTGGACACTTACTAGGGGGGACAATGTAACCTTTTTGTTCCTACAGTTGGATGTTTGAGCTGTGCAATGCACTGTGCAGAATAATACATGTGCAGAGCCTGACACTAAGGATGTTTTCACATTCATCTGCTGGATGTCCAAAGTTTCTCTGTGCTCATTGAAAATCAGATTTTAGTGGACGGGCCTAAGAGCATGATTTGTGACATCTGAAATTTTGAAAATCTACACTGTTTACACTGCCTACTTGAGCAGCGCATGAAAGCTGACACATTCCCGGTGTAAACACTACTTGTGTGCCAGATGCATCTGTTCAGTGCCGCAGCCGCCGATATACAGTATTTAGTGTTGTCAGGAAAGGATTAGAGAGAGGGGATGACATATAGAGAAGGGCCACAGGTCGTATTGAAACTCATGGCTGCTGCTACATCAAGGACCTAGCCTTGGTACATGGGACATCACTTCTACCAGGTGAGCTATCTGGGTGCCCTGAGTGATAGTTTTTCAGTCATCATTTGTACAGAACATTAACTTTTTTTTTAGGTGCAGTGAGGCTATTTCCTCCACTACTACCTGGTTTGGTATCTGGTTGGCTTGCCATACCACAATCAAGTTCATTAAATTTGCAAAATCCCCAAATTCTGATATTTGGTGATCCTCAACAGATCACTCAAAAATAAAGTCTGAATACTGACATTTATAAGTTAACTTTAATTTGTCACCTCTGCAGTACGACTCAAAAACTGGGAACTCACTCGGAGAACTGGCTCATTCAACAGCCAGGATACACAGGAGCATTTGTCCCACAGACAACACACTGCTTCGACATGGAAGAAAAAAACAGCCATCTGAACATTTGTCACATGCTCTTGATGCCAGTCCCTGTGCCAATTTCTTCAGCACAGCCAGGGGCATTGAAGACCCTGCTGAAATCAGCTCATTATCAATGAACTAACTCAATGAGCAGCTCACAAAGAGCTATCTGAAGATTCCACATACATTCAGACAAAAGCATTTACCCCTGAAGCTGACTAATATTTTGATTAGAACAGTGTCAGCTGACTCCCCACATTAAAAAAGGGTTTATTTATTGCTCACAAATTTAACTTTTTATTTGTGTTACTTTTCCTTTCAAAAGTTACACAGATTGGATTAAAAAATATATATTTTTTGTATTTTTGTTAAGACAGGTGCCCCCCCTAAACTCTTTTTTTTTCTGTTTTACCCTGTTCAGGCAAGTTCTGTCCAATCTTGATTTGACACACAGAAAACATAGTGTCATGTTAACCTCTTGTTAAGTGCTACCTTTGTACCTCAGCACAACGCAGCCAGGCACTCTGCAGCAATGCTGGGCTATGCATTAAGTTTCCTTCCTCAGACCCACCCACAGAGCGGATTCCATGGGTCTGTTGATACATTTATGTCTACTTTTTAAGGGCTTCAAGTGGAATATTGTAAGGGCCAGCAGCCTTGCCAGTTCTCAGTTCTTTAAAGGCCTCGTGTGAAACATTTAGTTGAATCAGATGGGACATAATATAATATTCACACGTATATTTTCAACAGTGTATAAATACTTAATATAGGAATAGTTGTGTTTTGTTACCTTAGAGCCATTTTATCTACAGACATCGCATTGCGATGTTCAGACATTATTCATGCAATTTCATCTCATTCAGATTTTTGTTTTTCAATTTATGTGGAGGATTAATGTATGTTCATTAATCTTTTATTAAGATGTGTTTTCATGTTTTACATTGTTGAACATCCAGGTTCTGTACCATTGACAGTATATATAATGGACAGCACTTCCTGATGCAAATTATGATGCATGTCACAATCAGCTTATCAGGAAAGGAAGTATGTAACAATCTCCCAATTGGCATGCATGTAACAATAAGCCAATCAGCATGCATGTAAGAAACAGCCAATGAGGATGGGTTTAACATTCAGCAAATTAGGATCCATGTAACAATGAGCCAATGAGGATGCATGTAACGATCAGCCAATCAGATTGAATGTAACAATCAGCCAATGAGGATGCCTGTTACAATCAGCCAGTGAGGATGCATGTAACAATCAATCAGCAAATTAGGATGCATGCAACAATCAGCCAATCAGGAAAGGAACCATGTAACAACCAGCCAACAAGCATACATGTAACAATCAGCCAATCAGGTTGAATGTAACAATCAGCCAATGATGATGCAGGTAAAAAAACAGCTAATGAGGATGTATATAATAGTCAGTCAATATGGACACATGTAACAATCAGCCAATCAGTACAGGAAGCATCTAACAATCAGCCAATCAGCATGCATGTAACAATCAGCAAATTAGGATGCCTGTAACAATCAACCAGTGAGGATGCATGTAACAATCAGCCAATCAGGAAAGGAAGCATGTAAGAACCAGCCACCCAACCAGCCATGTAAGAAACAGCCAGGGGCCTATAAAAATCAACTAGTGAGGACGCATGTAACAATCAGCCAATCAGGAAAGGAATAAAAACCCCGTGTAACAATCAGCCAATCAGCATGCATGTAAGAAACAGCCAATGAGGATGGGTTTATAACATTCAGCCAATCAGGATGCATGTAACAATAAGCCAATCAAGATGGATTAAACATTCAGCCAATCAGGATGCATGTAACAATAAGCCAATCAAGATGGATTAAACATTCAGCCAATGAGGATTAATGTAACCATTAGACAATGAGGAGTCCTTTAACATTCAACCAATCAAGATGCATGTAACAATCAGCCTATCACAATGCATGTACCAATAAGCCAAAAAGGAAGTCTATAGACATTGCATTGCAATGTTCAGACATTCATGCGATTTCATTTCATTCAGATTTTTATTTTTCAGTTTTTGTGGAGGATTAATGTATGTTCATTAATCTTCATCTAAAGATGTGTTTACATGTTTTACATAGTTGAACATCCAGGTTCTGTACCATTGACAGTATATATAATGGACAGCACTTCCTGATGCAAATTATGATGCATGTAACAATCAGCCAATGAGGATGCATGTCACGATCAGCCAATCAAGAAAAGATGCATGTAACAATCTCCCAATCAGCATGCATGTAACAATAAGCCAATCAGCATGCATGTAAGAAACAGCCAATGAGCATGGGTTTAACAATCAGCCTATCACAATGCATGTACCAATAAGCCAAACAGGAAGTATTAAAAAATCAGCCAATCAGCCTCGATTTCACATTCAGACAATCCGTCAACCTTTTACATTCAGCCAATCAGTGTAACATTGAGACAAAAGGGCAAATAACGTTTGAAATAGAAAGTTCAGTCCTGAATAAGTAGAATATATATATACATATATATATATATGTATATATATTTATATAGAATATATGGTACATTTAGACACAGGAGAAGCATCACCCTGATTGACAAACGCAACTGAGGATCAGATCGAAACCCCCTTGCATCAAAGTGCTAGTAACCTCTTCCTGGGGTGCCTCTCTACTGTATGTAAAATACATGAGGCAGAAGAATTCAATTCAATTCAGTTCAATTTTATTTGTATAGCACCAGTTCATAACAGAAGTTATCTCAGGACACTTTTCAAATAGAGCAGGTCTAGACCGAACTCCTTATAACATTTACAGAGACCCAACAGTGCTACCATGAGCAAGCACTTGGCGACGGGGGCAAGGAAAAACTGCCTTTTAAGAGGCAGAAACCTAGGACAGATCCTTTGGCTCTAGGTGGGTGGTCGTGTGCCTCAACCAGTTGGGGTGAGAGAGAGAGAGAGAACGACAGACAGACCGACAGGTGCACAGCAACAATAGTAGCAACAACCACACTAATAGTAGTGACTGATGATGATGAACATGAAGGAGACGACAACGACAACAGCAACGATGGGGGACAACGAGCAGCGACAACAGCAACGACAGTAACCGTAGCAAAAATAATACTGCTAATAATAATAACACTAATATCAGTGATATTTTGTCTGCTCACGTGCTACGGTAAGCGTACTGACTCATTTCCGGTTCACTTCCTGCTCTGTGTCCACTGTTTGATG